CACTATTAATGAACCACTAATAGTGTATTAGCCTTCATTCACCACCAGTCACAGAGGTGTGTGGGCTGCTGCACAGGCTGCCCCATGGACAGCAGGCCTGAGGTGCGGGCGGCGGTCTCCGCTCACATCTGCTGAGGTCTGGGGGGTAGAGCACCTGTGCTCCAGCCTCCTACTGTCACACTGTGCTCTCCACACACGTCATGCTACATGGACTAGGGGGACACTTTCTGTGAGCTGTTCAAAACTCAGGTACTGCTGAGGCTGGTGGGGCAAACCCCTGTGCCCAGCTGGCCCTTTCTATTTCTGGAGGCCCATCTTGCTGCTAAAGGAGATACGCAGAAACCAACACGGATCAAGTGGTCAACTCCCTGATGAAGCATCAGATGCCTCCTCCACCTGCACCCACGGCCTGGCTGGGGAGGAGTGGCAGCTTTCCCAGCTCTGAGGTCTTCCCTCTGCTGGAGGAAAGCCAGGGGATACCTAAGAGGCAAGCTTTCAGGGAATGATGGGAAGGAAGAGAAGGAATCAAAAACTGAAGTGACCAACCTTCCCAAGCCTGGTTAAACGGATTTATGGCTGTTTTTGATCTGCTCTTAAAAAGGCAAAGGATGGCCCGCTGGGTGCCAATCTGTAGGAACAAACTCCTTCCTCAGCTCAGGGCTCAAAATATACCCCAGCCAAGATGTCCTGACTCTGGCTGCCAGTGTGCAGAGGGAGGCCACAGCAGGTCAGAGTTTAGGAAGCCAAGGGAGCACCTTCACATCACCCGGTTCTCGGCCCAGAAGGACCAGTGGGTATTTCTGAAACAGCTTAACAGCAAGTGCAGCCAGGCTCCCGCCAGCACAGTGGGATGAACATGTAATAAAATGATGTTCTGGCCATCGGGAAAGGACGGTCATTCCCCACCAATCAGAACACGTATCATAATCCCAAGACAGCAAAAGCTCTGATGCCCGAAAGAAAAAAGCACGCTGCCCTGGCATGGGGAACCGGCAGCCTGGCCCGGCTGCCAAGCACGCACCACAGTGCTCGCTGACACGGCTCTGTAACGGGGCGCGGGTGAACCGGCTCAGTCCCCCTGCGGTTCCCTGGCTCTGACATCTAAGCGAGGCCACTCCCCTCAGGGGTAAGGCTGGCAAATCCTAACACTCCTGTCAGTCTGAAAACTGGAGACGTTTCTTAAAAACAACCGCTTCCTCTTCTACCCAGGCAGGTGAACCCTGGAGGAGTGGCCCGATGCCCGCGGGGCGAGGCCTCAGCCGCTTGGGAAACCCAGGCTGGACGCAGGCTCCACAGTGGATTTTCCGAAACCACAACTTTTGTGGGAAGAGACTAAGACTGTGTGTGAACTCAGAGCCACCACAGGACACTCGGCCCGGGTCCACTTATGGAAGAAAGGAAAACTGCTCTCTTGAGTGTCACAGCAGAAAAACTGCAATAAGAAAAGGAAGCCATGCCAGCGCTTCCAGGTCTGTCCCAGGGTCTGACGGGAGGCCGCCCCACGGCCCTCGGCACAGGCCAGCTGCAGCCAGGCCCGACGGCCACCATCAATCAGATGGCTCTCGCAGCATGTCAGTGCTTTTAATGAGGCGTGCTCTACCAGGTCCTAATTTGTTGAGCGGCCATGCTCCATTTCCATTTTGACATACATCATACTTCAATTAAAAAATTAATGAGTCCCAATTCCCCAACCCATTCCACAACAGGATCTCCCATGGCCTCCCGCTCAGCCTGAAGAGGGAGATGGCCCCCAGGCTGTTTCCAGCCAGGTGAAGCCTGTGCCTTTCAAGCCGCCCAGAAGCTACCTGGGCAGGTGAATGGCCTGACTCTAAGAAGGAAACTTCCTCTATGTCCCTAATTTTTGTTTTTCTATTATGTGAATTTAAAATTATTCCTCAGGCTGGACACAGGGGTGCACACCTGTAATCTCAACAGCGTGGGAGGCAGGAGGATTGGGAGTTCAAAGCCAGTCTCAGCAACTTAGCAAGTCCCTAAGCAACTCAGTGAACCCTGTCTCTAAATAGAATACAAAAAAGGGCTGGGGATGGGGCTCAGTGGTCATGTGCCCCTGAGTTCAATCCCTGGTACAAAAAAGAAAAAAATCCTCAGAACATTCCTATCTATACTCTAGCACCTCAGATTACTAGTGAATTAAATTACTTAACACCTTCTCTTCAAACAGATAAAACTGACACACCACGAGGCACCATATTCAATGTGCTGCTGTGAATGTGACTCCCCAGAGCAGCCGAGCACACAGAGAGCCATCCAGGCAGCAGAGACAGGGCTCCGGGGGCTGCAGGGCATCTCAACTCCTTCTTAGAATTTAAATCATCTAAAAAAAGGTGGATGGGTATTGGGAAAATCCGATGGGCTAAGAACACAAAGAGAAGTGCCAGGCAGAGGGCACACAGAAGGTACGTCAGTTTTCTGTCACTATGACAAAACACCTGAGATAATCAACCTTCAGAGAGGAAATGTTCATTTAGGCTCACAGTTTCAGAGGGTTCGTTTCATGGGGTCTTAGCCCTGCTACTTCTGGGCCTGTGGAAAGGCAAAATCTCACGGTGGGGAGCGCAGCATGGTAGAGCAAGGATGCTCACTCCATGGTGGCTGTGAAGCCCAGAGAAGGAGCCAGGTTCCCAATATCCCCTTCCAGGGCATGCCCCCAATGACCTCACTTCCTCCCACCAGGCCTCACCTCTTAAAGGTACCACCACCTCCCAACAGCACCATAGGCTGGGGACCAAGCCTTTAACACATGTGCCCCTGGGAGACATTTTAGATCCAAACTGTAATGGTATGTATTCAACAAATGTGTACTCTGGGGTACACATTCTGGAGAGCTGAAAAGAGAAAAGCGGTGTGCTCTGACAGCATCCTACAGAATGCCCCAGGCTATAGTCATGCATCCATGACAAATGCAGCTGGGAACTTCAACCTGCACCCGAGCACCAGCCTGCACCAGCCTGCACACTGAACCGCAGGCTGAGTTCTCCTATCCAGTATTTGGTGCAAAACCGTTTCTGATTCTCTCCTTTTCTCCTGTCAATGCTGTGAGCCCAAGAAAACTGCCATAAAAGCAGATGCACACAAATCTCAAGGAGATGGAGTGATGAATCCTGAAGAAAGTACAAAGCTTCAGCTGCCCACAGAACAAAGCAGCCCATTCGACACCAAGTGTTTGAGGGGAAAAAATGTGCTTATCCTTCCTTGGGCCTTATGTTTAGTTTATTTCTGAAATAGGGATAACTGAACAAGAGACTCAGCCAAGCACACACTCACTTGAGTTTAACAGGAAAAGAGACCCCAGCAGGCAAGCCGAGCAGAGACCGAGCACATCTTTACTTCCGAGCCACCTCTTCTCCACAGGCAGCCAGATTCCTGACCAAGAAGGGAAGACGTGCCGTGCTTCCCAGACCTGCGCTGCAGTGCTGCTTTATGGAATCCTGGGGCCCTGGAGGCCAGGAGAGTAGCTTAGCACAAAGCACTCACTGCACACCAAGTTCAGAAGTGGGTGGATGGGACAATTACACTACATCAAGTCCCCCTCCTACCTTCCAAGGACACTACCCACCCACCTTTACGTTATTTCTCAACAAAGTCCACCCACTTGGTAGGCTCAGGGCTTCACACATCAGACCCAGCCCACCCAGTGCTTACGCCAACATTTACAAATCAGGATATCTTGCATAACGATCCAAATGCATGGCTCCAGAAAACTTGAAAATGAGCAACAGGTGAGAAGATCATGCTTCCAAAAGGGCACAAGTGCTCTCCCAGGTGAGGCCTGTCCCCAGACTCTGCCACCCTTTCCCTACAGCATGTCCACTTCAGTGACTTCCTCCCCTGCTGGTTCTTGGTCTGTATCTTGGTCTGGCCCTGGGCTTACAGTGATTCATTTGCATCACGATTCAATCTTCCATCCTTCAATGCTCCTCTAAAATGTGCTTCTGACTAACCTGGGACTGTCACTTCTATACCACAGGGCCACAATCTCAGGACCTTCGTCCTCCTGATCTCCCAAAGCCCATCTACAAGTGAACTACGGCAAGCTCACAGGTCTTTCTGCAGCTCCTCTCAGTCGCATGCCTGCCTCTCACTGGGAATTCGTGTGCCCATAAGTTTACATTAGTAGCATCGTGGATGACTTTCAGACTGTAGTGCTGCCTGTGAAGGGCACAGTCTCCTACCAAAACTGTTCTGAATCCATGCACTGGAATTAAATAAAGTGCCACAGCAGAAGAACGAGTTTTTAATCCCCTATTTTAGAAGACCTTGCTGATGAGCCTTGTTTGGCTGCTGGGGATCACACCCAGGAAGACCCAGGGCACCAGGGAAAGAGAGTACACTTGGCTTCCCGACCTGTGAGAGCCAGGGCCGAGGGCTGAGTGGTCTAGGAGGGTCGTTTGGCCTCCTGAGACTCAATCTCATTTTATTTCTCTTCAATTCTTCCTTACAAATGTTTTCTAACATCCCTGCCTTTTCAGCTCATGTCACAGTACCAGTTATTCAGAGGCATCATCTTGAGACCAATCACTGGAGTATTCAATGAGCTTCAAGGATGAACTGAATATCTGACACACAGACGTGCTGAGCTCTTTCACAGGAGTGAGGCTGCTACAGGACTCTACAGGGCAGATGCTGGTCAGGCACTGGCTGGAGATACCAAAAAGGCAGACGCCTTGCTGGGCCTGCAGCCTCTTCCTCAGGGTGTCTAACTTCTAGAAACGTTAAGACAAGGCAGCAGGGGAAGGGGTCAGGCCGTAATCAACCTGAGAATGCTTATCATGGGCTTTATCAACAGATGGTCTCAAAGGAAGACCACCATATGAAACTCATCTTCTCTCTGTCCGGAAGAATCTGGGAGCCCAGTGGTGCTGTCTGGCTCAGGAGAGAAAGGGTTTCCTGTGTTTTGAATTCCACACAGAAAAAGTTACACAAAAGCAGGCAATTACGAGCAACAGCCTCAAATGAAACCACATGAAGAAGGCACGTACCAGGTCGATCAGGTCACTGAGGTTCTTCTCGATCTGCTGTGGAGGCAGGCGCCTCATGAGATCCAAGGCACAGTCCAGCTGCTGATCACTCTGTGGAAGGAAAAGAGAAGCACTAAGTAATTTTTGTCAATATCAAAAACTCGTTCCAAAACCCATTCCTGCAGTTGCTGCTTGCTTGGGGGAATTCTAAGCCCCAGAGAGACCCACAGTGGCCCGGCCCTCCTGAGCCTGCAGGCTAGAGGAGACACTGCACAGGGTGTCACCCCCTTCCAGTGCAGAGCCCCCAAGGGCTCTCCAACAACTCGGCAGACCTGGCAGCTGCAGATGCATCAACTCCCAGCTGGTTCTGTGGAGAGCAGGGCAGGCTGCAGGCTAGGGTCACCCTGCCTGTAACCCAGATATGAGTGGCAGGTAACGGAGCCGAGTCAGGGGAGAAACTAGGCGAGGAATCAGTGAGTGGCAAGAGGCACAGAGAGAGTCAAAGTGCTTCATTCTCCCAACTGAAACTCAGCCAGTCCTCTCAGGTCCTGTGTGCACTGGAGTAGGCCTGAAGCAAGCTTCAGAGAAGAGCTTGCACTCCCCCGCGGAGGGCACAAGTGCCGTGAGCTGTGGGACAGGAGATGGGCAGTGCTCTCACTCCCTGGGCGCCTTTCTAAAGCATGGTGTGTTTCCCAACACCGCCTCTCCTAATACTGCTACTGTGAAGACTTATGGGGCGCCACGAGGTGCCAGTCACCGTAAACATACACAAAACGATAAGGGAAGAGAAGGCAGGTGGGCGGGGCCTGAAGGCGGGCAGATGGCAAAGTGCACAGTGAAGGCTGGGTGGCGGGCGGGGTGATGATGGCTGGCACTGCAGCACAAGAGGCCAGATTCTAGGAGGAGCAGGAAGAAGGGCCAGGTGAATAACGCAAAGACCCCTGACTGCAAGCAAGGCAGGTGGAGTCCCTGACACTGCCACCAGAGAGGCACCGTCTGACCTGTATCTGAAGCTTGCACTGCTCAGACTAATTTCAGGACTTTTGAAAGCCCTAAATCAATAAACTAAGAGTCTCATAAAATATACAAAGTAATCCTCAAAATGCCATGTTTGGCTGTACGACAGACACCAAGGCCTATTAACCATCAGCAGGCCGTGGGGCCAGGCCCCATTTTATATCCACGGCAGACACAATCCATTTTCACATGTTCACATGGCATGTGCATCAGGATGGTCAAAATTAAGGCCTGTCCCTTGCTCAAGGTGGTTATCAGCGACACTTTATTCTAGGACATGCAACAATCTGGCTACCCTGCAAAACCTAAAACAACCCCAGGCTAGAAACCTGGCCACCAGCTCTGCCTAATTCGGCCCTATGCCAGCAGGTGTCAGCTGAGGCCATGGGGCATGGGGTGGCTCAGAAAGAAATTTTAATACCATGTCTAGGGAGACACAGGTAAGCTGACCTGTCCCTAGAGAAGGCACTTCCCAGGGCTGCACTTATCACCCGGCGACCTGGGGCAAGCTTCTGCCAGCCTCCACCCATAGGACGGGGGCAAGCCCATGGATGACTCTCTCATGGAGAGTTACAGTGACTTGGATAATTCATGTGGAAAGTAACAAACATCACAGGATGTGGTCCACGACTGGGGACCACATGCAAATATACATACAGGTTTTAAAGATCTAAAAATACTTTTTAAAGTAAGTACTTTAAATATTCCCAATATACACTCAACCTACCCTGCCTGACCTCTCCTGTGGCCTTGAACTAGAGTTAGGCAGTCAAACTCCACAAAAGGCTGTGCGTTCTCTTGCCTGTGCAAGAATGAAAACCCCAAGTTCTCAAGTCAAGCGGAACTCACTAAAAGCTATAAACCAGCCCTTCCCACTCGGGATGATTCCTCCTACGCACACACCCCTCTAGCCAACCTGCTGCCAGGAGATGTGGGGCCAACTAGGGAGACATTTTGACTGTCACAACTGGGGAAGGGGAAGCTGCCATCATTCAACGAGGCAGGGATGATCTGAACACCCAACAATGAAAAGGACAGATTCCCCATAACAAAGATTCCCTGGCCTAAATGTTAAAGGAGTCAATGCTGAAAAACCCTATTCCAAAAATAATCCGTTTCTTTTTTGGAGTGTCAGGGGCTTCTGGTTCCTAGAATCTGGTCAAAAAAAAAAAAAACTTGTCCAGCACGAGAGAAACCTTTTATAACAGTTCTAATTCACATACCACTCATAAGACCTAAAAACTTCTGGTTTTTGGAAAATAAGCAGATCTTAACAATCTTCCTCTGAACTCCTAGGCAAACTTAGAAGCAAGCCCAGCTAACTTGAAACTGTAATCCAGAACATGCTGGGATTCGGGAGGGAGCAATTGGAAATTTAGCAGTGTTCTTCAGAAAGGGAAAAGCCACATCTTGACCAGAGAAGGTCAATGCCAGAGGAACATGATTTTAATCCTCTCTCTGGGGGTCCCCGCCTCACACCCCGAGCCCCCACACCAATAGGCCCCCACGCGAGGGTGCTGGCGCAGGAGGGCTTCCTTCCAGGCGGTCTGGCTGCGCCTCGCTGGCAGCACTAAACACTCCCAGGGCCATTGAGCTCATGTTTTGTACTCATCCCAATTAATCTTAATTGGAAATGTTTCACAACAAATTTCTAGGGCTAAGGATGTTTAACTATCATTAAATTAGGAAATGACTAAATGCTTCCCATAAGTGAAGCAACATGGGAAGGCTTAGTGGCAGCTTGTAAAAAGTTTAAAATTAGAGTCAACTGCAGCCTTGCTCAGGAGTCATCTCATACCCTACGGGGTCCTAACGGGAAACAGCATGGAGAAAACACGGCTGATCTACAGCACACGCAATGGCACGGCGAGCCTGGAGATGGGACGGTGACAGGACTTCGGGAAGACTACCTGGGATGCCACCACTCTTACGAGGCTCAGAAACAAACGACGGTGATCTCTGTTATTTAGATGGACATGTGCACTTTCAACTGACAGAGCAGAGCTTGCTTCTTGTTAAGATAAGTGAAAGGAATGATAAATAAAAAATTCAGAAGAACGAGAAGTTACCAGGGAAACCACCAGGGGAAGACGAAGGTTATTCTGCCGGGGTCTTACATGGAATGGTAAAATCAAGGGTACTCATTATATCATGATGCTTAAAACTTACACCAGTATGTTCCTACATCATTATCAGAGGTCTAAATGTTTTTTAAAGTACAAACAAGATCAAGTGAGGGCAGGATTTAGGTTAAGTCCAGGGTGGAGGTCTTTCCTGTCACTAGATGTCTGTGATTTGGGCTTCATTTAACAGTGTGACATGGGACTTGGACTCAATGGCCTCTAAGGTTCCTTCTAGATGGGCAATGCCCTCTATCTTGTAGGGAGTGCAAATGTGCCCACCACTGGGTGCCACCCGCCCTGCAGTGGCTCACACTGCTAAAAACATCATCCCTTCAACAAAACCATCGTTCTGGACTCAACCTCCTGCAGGCCAGCAACTAGCTGACAATTCAGCAACCAGGCGTTCAGTGCTACACTCAGGCCACATCCTGACCCTCCAGGAACCGATCAGCCATAAAACAGCAAATGATCACCAGTCACTAGGCCGTGTGATGTGGACAAGTGGAACATCACAGGATGTGGAGGCCCCGAGACAGGGAGTCACATCTGCACTTCCTTCTGGCAACCATTTTCCTAGGGTCCCCCTTGTGGTCACTCCTCCTAACCAGCTTCCTATTTATCTTGTAAACTGTCACCCCTTGATCAGGACAGCTTCTTCAAAATGTCAACTGCTCCTGTAGTTCTGCCTCCCACTGGTGCCCTGGGCTGAAAAACAGTATAGGAATGGCCACTTCACTTCACCCTCCAGGATCTCTGCCCATTCAATTAGTCATTCGATAATTATTGTTGAATGTTTCCTAGGTAACAAGCATTGTGCTTGATGCTGAGTGGGGAACGTGAAGTCCCTGGAGCTTATGGTGTACCAGAGCTTCTGATATGGTCACAGTCAATAGGGAAAAAACTCAAGGGCGAGTCCATGTGCGGGTGTGCAGGGGAGAAAGGCTGTTTCCCCACCTTAAACCTCTTGAGCGCACACAGGTGGAAATGCTCTGTTTTTGCTGGTTTACATATGACTTAAAGCACAAAACTGCTTAAGTCATCCTGTGACAAGTAAAATACAGTTAACATGGACCAGAACAATGTTTCAGAACAAAATTAAGTAAAATGCTTCAGGCTAAAATATCTGCTGAAGAGTTCAGACACCGGACAAAGCCACAGATCATCTACAGACAGCAAACCCAGGTCTATGCAACAAATCCCACACAGAAACCACCAGCAGGTAAACCCCATTCAGCTCCTAGGTGGGGTGCGAACACACCCAAGGCCGTGATGAGCTCGACGTAACAGGGTAGACCCACCATCGCGTACTGATGAGCACTGCTATACAGGCACCCGGCGAGGGGACAGGGAAGCCTAGGAGATTTTCTCAAGAGCAGGCACAGGATCTGGACCATCTCCCTGTGCCTTAGGCAGTGCCAGGGGCCTTTTCAGGACGCAGGGCACCTGGTCAGAGCACACCACTCACTGGGGGCAGAGGGAGAGAGAGATGGGAGGAGTACACTGTGGGGGGTGGGAGCATGGGAACTAATGGAAGCAATAAAACCATCCCTGTCCTTTGAGGTCATTAGGTCTTGGGGTGACTATTAGATGGCAACAGAGACTGACACAGAAGGATTCCTGTGGCGACCTTGGGAAGGCAGTTCAACTAGAGAAGAGACTGGAGCAGGAGGGCCAGCACGGGAGCCTCTGGCTGGAAGGGTGGAGGGGCAATCTAGGGGGCAGAATGGAGAGGAGTGGTTCTTCCCAGAGAGGGGAGGGCCAGAATGGATTCCTAGCTGGGGCCACCTGCTGAAGGGGGGCCTTCTCAGGGTGCATGTGGTTCATGTCTATCCTTTTAAAACACAGTGTTTGTAATTCCAAGGACACGCAGCAACTCAGAATGCTAATATTCCCAGCAGGAGCCCTGCCTGGCCTGCCCCAGGACTGGTCAGGGCAGATCTAAACTCCATGGGGGGGGGGGTCCATACATAA